TTGTCTGTGGCACAATAAAGGCAAAGCTTTGGGAAGGAACATAATCTGATGGCAGATAGCATAGGTTTGTGTTGCTCCAGCCAGTGGATGTGGAAGTCAGACGGCCCTAAAAAGAGAATACAAAGCAAACAGTCCAGGTATCTTCTACTTCCTGCAGTGTTTTGTAGTTTTTGTATTTCTGCGATTGTATTTGCATGTCTGTTGAAAACTCAGCTTGGAAAGTGTCATGCAAATGTATGGTGCTTGGAAATGCTACATATTTGGTTAGAATAAAATCTTGTGAGTGTGTGTTCTTGCAAGGTGTAATATTTCAAGTGGAGCTTATTTGTATCCATAATACAACTGCTGTCTTAGGCCTAGGTAACATAACAAGTCAATTTTCTTGTTGCAGAGTTTCTTTAGGGGCATTTTGGATAGTGATGTTTAAGTAGTTACTTTCTGCTCAGGAATAAGCTTTCCTAATACAGATTGACATCATGAACAACGTCTACAAACAATGTACACATGAGATCAGAAATATCCTGGAAGGGGTCTACCCTGGCCCCTCAGGTGGTGGTGTGCCCTGTCCTGAATAGCTGTGGTGCATACAAGGGCGATTACCAAAGGCAGGCTGCTGTGTTGGAATGGCATTCTGTTATTCTGTTAAGGCAATCCACAGGATGCTGTCCCTAATGCTAAGCAGATTAACTGTGTATAAATGTTGCGATTGCAATTAACTGGCATGCTGAATACTGCACCACACAGTTCATGTAGGAAATCCTCTTGGCTTAATTGTACACTTAGATGCTGTTTCATGGTAGGCACTTCAGTCATTATGTAGCATGGATAAACAAAATCGGATTTTTGTTTGGGGAATATCTAACTCTTTGCAAGGTTTGGCTAGCCTGCTGCATTAGAAACTTGATACTGTGAAAACTTACAGATAAAAGGCACTGTCAGTTTTCCTTTAGCCTTTGTCTAAATTGGAAATTGAAGACTAGCTGCTGGTGATAGCAGCAACTGAATGCACAGCACAGGACAGACTGATGTGTTTTGCTGTGAGTCAGGGGTGATTAGAGAAAGGTCTTGTGGGCTGTGGGCTCAGACCTGTGGTGGAATTTGGAGTATGAAACCTGTGGTGTTTCAGATTCATCTTGGTAAATAAACAGAAAGACCCTATACAAAACTTCCAAGGACGCTTTTATGTACTGTGTTTTCTCTTATTCCTGTGCTATTTTATATAGCACCTGCTGACATACAGTCACGCTGGAGAATAGTACTGCCCTTGTTTGTCTGTTTGTGGTATCTGAATTTCAGTGAGGTTATCAGCTTCCCTTTTTACGCTTGTTTTAAATTCGTTGGACTGTGGAGAGAATAGGGTGTTTTTTAACAAGATCTTTCTCATTTGTTTAGGTTGGTTGTGGATTTATGTAATTAGTTTTTTTGTTTTAACTTGTTTACTTGACTGCGTAGAGAGCATTTCAGATTTAGTCTAACTTGTGTTTGCAACGGACTAAGAGTGTTTGCACATATGCTTGTTGTGGCCCAGATGAAGTGACTTAACTTGTTAAACCACAAACTCATTTGTTCATCTCATTTGGTAGTTCACGTTAATTGTAGCAGGAAACATGAGAAACTGTGCTTAAAGTTATTCTGCTGAAAGAATAAACCTGCGTGGGTGCTCTTTATTTGTTTAAGAACAGTCTATTTACTTAGCTCCAACACTTTTATAATGATATGAGTGGACTTTCACTTTTCATAGAACCATACAATCATTTAGGTTGGAAAAGACCTTAAGATCATCAAGTCCACCATCAACCTAACACTACCACCTCTAAACCATGTTGCTAAGCGCCACATCCATACGTCTCTTAAATACCTCTAGGGCTGGAGACCCCGCCACCTCCCTGGGCAGCCCCTTCCAAGGCCTGGCCACCCTCTCTGAGAGGAAATCCTTCCTGACACCCAGTCCAAACCCCCCTGGTGCAGCCTGTGGCTGTCACCTCACGTCCTATCGCTTGTCTCCTGAACAAGGAGAGCAACACGTTGCTCCTGGCTGCAGCCTACTGTCAGGCAGCTGTGGAGAGTGGGGAGCTCTGCCCTCAGCCTCCTCCTCTCCAGACCGAGCAGCCCCCAGCACCCCCAGCTGCTCCTCACCCCTCTTGTTTTCTCTTCACCAGTTTTGATGCTCTTCTCTGCACATACTCAAGCAACCCAAACCTTTTGTGTGGTCCGGGGCCCAAAACTGAGCACAGCGCTCGAGGTGCGGCTTCACCAGAGCTGAGTACAGGAGGATAATCCCTTCTTGCTGTCCGCATGATTTCTGATGCAGGCCAGGATGGCACTGGCCTTCTCAGCCACTGAGGAACACCACTGGCTCATGTTCATTCCACTGTCAACCAGCACCCCCAGATCCTTTTCTGCTGGCAACTTTCCAGCCACTCTTCCTCAAGCCTATATGGCTGCATGGGGTTGTTATGACCCAAGTGCAGCACCCAGCACTTAAGCCTTGTTGAATCCCATACAAGTGATACAAGTGGATGTGGCCCATCAATCCAGCTTATCCAGATCCCTCTACAAAGCCTTCCTACTCTCAAGTGGAGGTCAACACTCCTGCCCAACTTGGTGTCTGCAAACTCACTGAGGGTACACTCAATCCCCTCATCAAGAGTGCTGATAAAAATGTTAAACAAAACCAGCCCCAGTGCTGAGCCCTGGGGGATACCACTGGTGAACAGCCTCCAACTGGCTTTAACTCCATTCACCGTGGCCCTTTAGGCCAGACTGCCCAGCCAGGTTTTTACTCAATGAACAATACTTCTGTCCAAGCCAGGAGCAGACAGTTTATCCAGGAGAATGCTGTGGGAAACAGTACCAAATGTTTTGCTATAGACCACAGCCTTTTCCTTGTCCACTAAACATGTCATCATATCATAGGGGGAGACCAGGTTTGTCAAGCAGGACCTACATTTCATGAACCCATGCTGGCTGGGCCTGATTGCCTTGTTGTCCTTCACTTTTATTTATTTATTTATTTATTTATTTATTTATTTATTTATTTATTTATTTATTTATGCATGTGATTGGTTTAAACTGTTTAAGTATTATCTGATTCTCTGTTTTTTAACGTTGCTGCATGCTGGGATTTGCTGCCTTAAAAGTAAAACTGATGTAACTCCATGTGCACGTGCATACATGTATACTGCGGCCTAACCCAACTGATGTCCAGTGATTTAGCCTAAGATGTTGATTGAGATGAAGTTAGCCTATGCTAACTGTCTTGAAGCAATTACTCATATTCAGTTCCACAAATCAGGAGGTGGTAACAGTTTAAGTTGCCACAGGTGTTTGGAAAGTGAGTTTGCTTCAACATTGATTTGGGTTCAACCACACAAATGCACTCTTGCCACCTCATACAGATTCCTTAGACGTGATGAGGTGTAGCTTTGTCTGATGGTGTTTTACTACAGGAGGAGCAAATCTGGCACTTTGTTAGTGTTATCTCTGCTGTGTAATTAGCCACTCACCTTTTCTTTTTTTTTTTTTACCCCTCTCTGGTGTAGAGTCTGGCTCACATCCATTGGGCTGTTCTGGCAGGAAGGCAATGACACTATCAGGAGGAGACTGCTAGGGGCTCAGATGAGTTAGCTGCATATGTAAGCAATGATGCCATAAAAAATGTCTCTTGTATCCACTGTGTCGTCTGACACTTTAAGTATTTCATTTAGAGTGAAGAAATGTTGTGGGTGGAGGGTGATTTTGTGGGTTTGCTAGAACCAATCCCACAGAGGACTTAGGTACCAAGAAAGAGACAATGTACTGGAGTTTTATTTTGGGACTGCTTGACCTGGTTTCAAGCAAGATTTATCCTGTTTTTAGTGTTTGGGATTTGAGGTTTGTCTAACTGTGAGCTGTAAGGATTAAATGAAACTGGGAGAAGTTGCCTGAGAAGAAATACACCGTGATTTATTTGTGTAAAGATCAGTCTGCAGAAAGCCTGCACTGTGGTTTTTAGAACAAAATGAACTCTTACCTCTCAAACTGTTAGGGATTCCTCACATACCTTTGACAAACAAGGATATTGGCCCATGAACAAACTAATGAATCGTGAATGCATCTGTGAGTGTGTGTTGCATTGTGCAGAGGTGGCCAGTACCTGTTAGCATGCTCATTGTGCTGGGTACCTCTGCAATGTTGACCTGTGGTGAACAGAAGGGAGCTTACTGATAGAGGTGCACGTCCTCCCTCATGCTTACCACAGGGTAAGGCCATGCACACGGGCACTGGCCATAACGTTGTGAGGACACTGTAAGCATACACCATAACTTGTGCCATGGTAACTTTTTCATCTACATGTAGCTTTAGTTTAATTGAACATCTTATGTGAGATTAACAAAGAGAAAATGTTTAATGCCTCCTCTTTCTGTCAGCAGGGTAAGGAGAATGGCCTATGGCATGTTTGAACTTTACTTACCACTAACAGCAGGGCTTTTTTAAATTTATTTTGTATTTAATTTGAGGGAGAATGCAAGGTTGTGGTGGCAGAACTCAGTGGTTGGTTCCAGTGGTTTAAGTCAGCATGTTCTTGTTATAGAAAACAGAGAGCCAGTGGGATAAAACTTAAGTCCTGCAGATGTTTAATGACAGGTTTCAGCAAACTTACGAACTCCTCAACTATGTGACACAGTATCAGAGCCAGACACCATGGACAGTATATTTCAAACAAATATTTAGAAGTTGCCAGTGGAAGCTAAACTTTGCAAAATATGAAGTCATTCTCAAAAGGGTTTAGATCTGTTAAATATCATATGAATAGCCACCTATTTCTTGAAGCTAATGTTAGTATGCCTAAATCAGGAACATACTGCATGCATGTTAGCTCACATGTAGAAGGGGGAAGCTTTTGCACATAGACAAGGGAAAGTACCGTTGCTATTTTAGTGTGGCATTCTATTTAATGCACGTTTCATCTTTTTATATGTCTTAAGGAAATCTTTGTGTTTTTTTTTTTTCTCTTTCAGAATCGTAATGAGATAAAAAATGGAGCAATCCTTCGGTTAACAACGTCTCCAGTAAGTTACCATTCTGTTCTTCTCTCCCTTCAAAGTAAAGATTTGATTAGTAGAATCACTGTGAAGCAATTTATATGTTTTCAGGCTTTAGCTACACCCTATCCCACAATCCCCCTACAAAGGACAGTGATGGTGTGGTCACAAGAAGACTGCGTTGATCTCTTTTTTTGAGTTGTGGGCTGGGGTGGTGTCTCTCTAGTCAAATTTTGTGGCAGGGTTGTCACAGTTGGGTGTTCTTTGTCTTTCACTTCTTCTCTTCCACTGGGAAGAGCTTTCATGTCCAAGATACCTCTGCTTCCCTGCTGGAACTGCAGCATCACTCATGTTCTCCTGTCCTGCCCAAGAGATCTGAGCCAAGAGAAAAGCCTGAGGGCTGGATCTGGGAGAGCTCTTCTGCAGGTCAGAGCTTTCCTGTTGTTGGGGTTTCTACTGATTGAGCAGCAGCTATAATGTTGAGATTTTACTGTTTTGTCTTTATTTTTTCAACACCACCTCCTTGCCAGCTCCTCAAAAAGCATAGCAGAGTTGCTGGTTGCCTTGTAATGGCCTGTTTTCCTGCTGAGTTGAGCCATGCTGTTGCCACATGCTGAAAGCCACTATTAGTCCCAGAAGATGTATTTCTCTGGCAGCAGCAATCACATTTCCTTACTGACAAGCATAGTGTGCCATTAAAATGGTTTACCTCTTTGTGGTGGTGTTTTAGCTTCTGCAGAATCATTGCATTCTTATGGCCAAAATCTGCCCCCGTGTACTGCAGCTCATTTAAGCAAGGAAGACAGAGCTGTGGTGCTTTAAATTTGGCTTCTGTTGAACCTGTTAAGAGTGGTGTCAGATGCAAAATCTTGTTTATCTAGAAGTCACATGGAGATACATACTGGATGGGTCATTTTTCAGCTGTAGGACCTGCCGTCAATGTAAAAAAAAAGAGATGTATGTTGCTAAAAATTTCCTAGGTCCTCCAGATACCATATGCATTTCCACTTGTCCCCAGCATGCTTAACTTGATGGTGATTTATACTAAGCTTAGGAGGTGACTGAGTTTGTAATGCATGTTTGTGTATACACAGAAATTGAAGAAGCCATTATGAAAACACATGCATGCCTCTGAAGTTTTTGGTTAAGTGTATCTACGTGAGTGTGTCCTCTTAACAGAAAGCACACCTAAGCAGCAGCTGTCTGAACAAAGACAAGAGATTTCCATTATCCTTTGTCATCTTTTCCACGGTCATATACAGAACTTTACAGCTGTAGGAGTAAGAGCCATGGTCTTAAGCTGCTGTTGCCAGAGTCTGACTCCAAAGCTTCTTGCTATATGTCATCAGAACAGCCTTGTAGATGAGAAACCACTTACCTGTGGAGTAAACCCCATCTGGTGGAGCTTCCTAAGAAACAGAAAGCCCTGGCACCAGCTCCTAACCTTTGGGACTTGTAAGAAGAAATATCCAAATATCCACTCCACCGAAAAAGGGCTATCTACTGGCCAGATGTGGGATGTCGTGAAAGCAAAACAACATCTGTGGTTCATCAGGAACCAGTGTGGTCCAAATGCACTGCATCATTCTTCTGTGTAACCACAACGTGGAGTGACAGTATGAGATGACTCATGGAATCCTTCCCCATCTCAAAATCCACAATGAGTTGCACCATGCAAAACTGAACTGAGGCTGTGCTTTGACACATCTGTGGAAATAGCTGTCTGTCTGCATGGTCACTTGTGCAATTGGAAATGCAACCTTCAAACAGAAGATAACTTTTGGATTTATAACTCTTTCTACTAATAGCTGTGGGCCAGAAGGCAGGGCCTTGCATAAGATTCTCCTGTGCTTGTTCTGTTTCTTTGGTCATCTGCCTTAGGTTCAGTCAGCCAAGACAGGGCTCCTTAGGATATTGGACTGTTACCCATTTTCTACCAAGTTAGGGACCATGCTTGCACAAGCCTACAGTTAAGAGTGATGCAGGGATCCTAATCTGCCATCCTGTTATGAGCTAGAAGGCCGCTCTAGTTTCTAGTTGTCAGTATTGACATTTATCACTAAACCAGGGCTTACTATCTTTTTTTTTTTTTTTTTTTAGTTAACTTTTTCCCATAATCAGGGAATCACACAGAATCACACAGAATTTCTAGGTTGGAAGAGACCTCAAGATCATCGAGTCCAACCTCTAACCTAACACTAACAGTCCCCACTAAACCATATCCCTAAGCTCTACATCTAAACGTCTTTTGAAGACTTCCAGGGATGGTGACTCCACCACCTCCCTGGGCAGCCTGTTCCAATGCCTCACAACCCTTTCAGTAAAGAAGCTCTTCCTAACATCTAACCTAAAACTCCCCTGGTGCAACTTTAGCCCATTCCCCCTCGTCCTGTCACCAGGCACGTGGGAGAACAGGCCAACCCCCACCTCTCTACAGCCTCCTTTAAGGTATCTGTAGAGAGTGATAAGGTTGCCCCTGAGCCTCCTCTTCTCCAGACTGAACAAGCCCAGCTCCTTCAGTCGCTCCTCGCAGGACTTGTTCTCCAGGCCCCTCACCAGCTTCGTCGCCCTTCTTTGGACCCGCTCAAGCACCTCAATGTCCTTCTTGTAGCGAGGGGCCCAAAACTGAATACAGTACTCGAGGTGTACTCGAAGTAACTTGGATGCAGGTTTTAAAGGTCTGGGTTGGTTTTTGTCAGATTAAAGAGTATTTGTATTCTTTAAATAGAGGTAAAATAAAGTTCTGAATGTTCCCCTACTAGAATAGTGTCTTTGCTTTGAAGGTACTGCTGATGTGGTCATCATAGAGGTACCTAAAATAGATAGATTAAAGGCTTCCAAGCTGTGGTTTTTAGCCTGGTGACCCACACAATGTTTGTATTTAACCCTGAGAAGCTAACAGGCCATCTGTTTCCATTTTTTCCTCTGAAATTCTATGTGAAAGCAACTGTAGACAGAGGAGATAATGTAAAGTACAGGCTGAAAGATATAATTATGCAATATGGGAATGATGCTTTCCTAGCTTCCAGGTAGAAAATGTTTTTCTCATCCTGTGATAATATTAAGATTCTATTTTTTTCCTTTCTTCCCCCCACTCTGTATCAGTATAAAGCTGAAATTATCTCCTCCTCCCCTCAGACAAAGAAAATAGTAGCAAAAACACTTTGTGTAGAGGTTGGGGAATTTGAAAGAAAGAAAAGAAAGATTAAAAGAAGTGAAGAGGAGCCCCATACAAATTATCTGGTGCCTGGGATGTGTCCATGTAGCTTCAGAGAGGTCCAAGCTTTCTACTTTTTGGCTATCGTGGGCAAGCAAAATCTGTCCTGAACTTCACAAGCCTTTTGAGGAAACTTTTTTGAAGAGTTGGGAGGAATAGTTACGGCCAGCTCTGAAGGCTGCAGGAAATTAAAATGCATTTCTAGTTCTTAATTTTCATATAGTATAATAGCATCAGAAGCAAAAGTCAGGCTATACCCATTCACAGTTGCATACTGGAGTTGAGTGAGAAGGACAAGATAAGATCTTTTGAGTTCTGTTGCTTTTAGTCTCAAGTTGTGTATTGCTCATGTACCCATTATAGGTACTATTAAAGATTTAAATGGTGGGGTGAGGGGAAGGAGAAAGCTAGGAGAAACACAACAGTATTTTTGGGTTGGCTTCCTTAAAATTAACATTAGAAATCCAACTTCCCGTTATATAAATTAAATACTTTCTCTTTTTGAATCTCAAATTTAGATAATTTTGGGTGTGTGTATAAGTCCCTTTTTTTCCCCGAAATTCATTGTTAATACTGCAAGAGCAAAACTGCAGTTCTGGTGTGCTGCTAAATCCATTATAAATGCTTGCCTTCAGAGATTTATGACGTGTCTATTTTAGACTTCTTTGAGTTAGAACTTTGCAAACGCCAGTCATTGGGCCTGGTGGGAATTTGAACTGCCTCTTTGTTTCTGCAGGTCTGTTTGCTAAGTTTGTGCAATTCTCTGAAAGGCTGTTTTTTTCTAAACAATGCTATTTTTTCCTCTATAAACCACTCACCACACAGACACTGTGTTTCCTAGGTAACTTGAATACAGATTGAATTTCTCTCATATTATCTTTGTTCCTATATCATCATTCTCCTTTATTTTTTTGCCATCCTATCATCTTTCTTAACAATTCTTTGTGCTGTTGTGCATTTTTGCTGTTCTCCATGACCTGTTTCCCCCCCCTTGTCCATTTGCATTTCTGAAGGGGCTCATTCAATGCTTTTTATGCAACAATCTTTGTTGTATTTGAACATATGTGACAGGTGAAATGCCAGATCGTTATTGTCTATTTTGTGATACCCTTATTCCCATGGATGATGGGTACGTGTATAAATGAGCTGTAATTGCTCCTGAGTGTGAGACTGTTCCAAAAGGACAGCTCTGTCCTGCAATGCAGCAAATAGAGTCCAACTTTTTACTGTCTGCAGCTTTCTTTTGATCAGATCCTGCAAATCCACATTGTAATGACTAATCATTTTGAAAGGCTGCTAAAATGCTGGGAAGACTAAGCTAAGGGAACTCTTCTCTTTCTCCCTCTGCCTTTAATTTAATGATTTTGAAACAGAACTGATTATTGGACCTCTAGCTGTTTGTTTTTAAAGTAGCTTCTTGGGTACTTAGGAAGACATGGCTTGCCCACGAACGGTATACCTTTAACATTGAGTCAATGGGTAGCCATTTCTAATGTAATATTTAAAGTGCCTGATCATTTGCTTTTATCATGTGTTTTTTGTTGTTGTTGTGTTTTTTTTTTTTTTTGTTTGTTTGTTTGTTTGTTTGTTTTCCTCCCCTGGTTGGAGATTGATTGATTGAGTTCTCAAACCTGTGAGTTGTTTGTAGCAGCTGTATTAGCATTTCTAGCATGAGCAATCATGTCAATAGGGGTGTTTGCTAACAGTCATCATAGTATTTTCCCAGAATGCTTTTACAGATTTGTGTAACATGTTTTTTTTTTGTTTGTTTGTTTTGTTTTTTTCATCTGTGATCTACCCATATAAGACG